GATGATGGGAGTATACATTGTAACATAGTAAAATAGATAATCAATGTGATAATTTCCCCAATTTTTTGTTCCCGAGTCCGGGCCCGCGGCTTTGGTTTCGGAGACATCCGGGGTAGTTATGGGTTCAGAATACGGTAGAATCTCATGCGATCCATTATCTCTGAGAGCGGCGAAACCGGGTGTGACCGCCAACCATGAGTGAAGAAGCGCGATCAGAAGGGTGAGGCCCCATTTGTCATGCGGTAAAACTAGCCTTTCCCCAACTTTTACAGCGTTTCCGTTGCCAACGGAGCATCTCAAAAATGTTTTTTTTTCTTCCTTCTTCTTGGGTTATCACAAGGACCGCTCCAAACCGCAATATTCGTTGCCAAGCGCACCAAGGCTAGACTGGGCAGGGGCGGAGCCGTGCCGGGCCAGAAAATGCCATCTTTCAGTCTTTCAAGTGTTCAGCGTTCAAACAACTCGCGTCGGGATCAGCAGCTTAAACATTCTCAGCCGATCGGAAGAACCTAAATCTTTCCAGAATAGACTTGGCGTGACGGGCGATGGATTTTGTAGTTTCGGGCGGCGTGGGGGATAACTTGAATGGCAAGACTCTTACCACTACCCCTCAGTACTGTACGGTGCTCGGGCACGGTGGGTTTTCACCGTCAGTGAGCTAGCCCACTGGCAAGGCAGCTGCTACGGGGGAATTCCCCAGTGCTCGAGTAAATTATGTGTATCGGGATTTTTATATCGCGCCGCAGCGAACGGGGCCTGGAGTATGTTTCTCTTCTTTTTTTTTTGTTTGGATTCTGCGTAACGTTTTGGGACAAGACTAAAGCTCGGCTACTGTACTCGTACTGTACTGCGGAATCACCGGGTTCCGATTTTAAGGCTCAGAGCACAAGTACCGGCGATATGAGTACCCTCCCTTGTTTTAGAGATCAGGGAACTTTTGGTGGTGTAGAGGAGGCTAACTGGGGAGGGGGGGGTAGGCAGATAGGCACGATCGTGGACCAAGTTACCTAATGGTGGCCTTCAGAGGGAGATCATGTGGAAGGAATGAAATGCCAAAGACGCATCCCTTTGTCTACGAGTACGAGTGGAGTGTTTGAGCACGAGTAGACTATTCAGCGCCCACCCTCGAGTGACCAAACCCATACCTCGTATGATACGAGCCCAGTTTTTGAAGATGGGAGGACATAATGCATGCTAAAAGGTCGTGAAATTCGGGAACGACGAAGGGATTCCTGGTACGAGTAATTCCAAATGATTGTAACGATCCAGACGGTGTGGCCTACCATAGTCTACCCGTATCAGGGCACGGCAACCGCAGTGATTACAGTCCGCCACTAAATGACATCATCTTCACCCGACGTCACTCATTCGTCAACCACCTTCCCACTGGATGCCAAGAAAAACACGCAACCCTCTCTCGTCATGCGCCAGTGGAAGTACTCGAGCGCTCGGGGAGAAAGAGTACCGCTATCCGTGGCCCGATTAAATTTTTGAAAACCTCGCCTGCACGTGGAGCTCGCGGCGCATACAAAACTTTTGCAAAACTCTTGCTCGCCTTCTGACACCGATACCAGTGCTTTTTCCCTTCTCATGTACTCGAGTACCCTACCCCATATGTCCCAGACCCCACCTTTCCACTTCCCCCCCGAGTACCCTAGCCCAGCTTAAGCTCGACTAAGAAAATGGAAGAAATTGCGGCTGTTGCAGCGCCCGGCCAAGTCATGTTCCACCAGGTGCGTTAAACATGTTACACCAAACCACTTTAGNGCTAAAGTCCCTCCACGCCCCATCTCTTAGCCTTGTGGCCTCACAGATGGCCCTGACCCAAGGCGCCTTTCTCACTTCAAGGCTTAATCGGCATCCCCTCTTCGCAATGTTCCCATCTGTAAATCAGGTGATCATACGAGATCACTCGCAATTCCTGTGAATTTGCATGGCTGGGAAAGAGAGAAAGAAGCCCGCTCGTTGGTGTGAGGGCGAGTTTGGTGGTGGTCGGGGGGTTATAGTTATTATATGTAGTGATATCCCCAGCCAGTTTCAACAACATCAGGTCAAGCAACGGCAAGAGTAATCTATCAACCGGGGGACACTGGTGTCGATATCGGCGGAACGAGAAGCCCACTCTCACTCGAACCCAGGGAGCACAAGACCGTGCGGCTGCAGCCGGAGGATATTGGAGGGGTTGGAGTGGAGGGTAGGCAGAGTCCCACAAGGAGGGAAGCGAGCCCTCGGGGGGATGGGGTTGTTGGGGTTTCGGGGGTTTCGGGCAAAAAGGGGGGGGAGGACAAAGTCGTGGAAGTGGAGGGTAGGGTGGATGAACCGACGGAAACTGAAGAAGTTTCAACGCTCAGTGGAGGGATTATGGGAACTCCGAGGACCGATGAAGAGGACATAAAATGTTCAGCCCGAGTATCGAACCACGGGAAAAATACAAGAGGCGGAGATTCTGGCCCTTCGCCTCAGCAACTTCCCAAGACTATGGAGGCTTTGCCCGGCGCCATGGCATGTGAGCCTAGCAGCGCAGACCTCAAGCACGCAGATATCGGGCACAGTAGTAGAGCTGCCGAGGGCCATAACAGAGCGATCGACGGAAAAAAGCACGACAAACCGCAAGCCAAGAGAGTGTCATTCGCTCCCGAGCCGTCGGAATCTAACGCACAAGAGATAACAGCTACTGGTGGGGAGACCAAAGAGCTCGAGAAGGTCGCCGATGCCCCTGGTGAATTTGGATACAATATTGGAGCATTCAAAGGCCACGACAGAGCAATCGATGAGAAGCGACAAAGCCAACCCGCGGATAAGGAATCGTACCCTACTCAGCAGCCCAGGCAAAATCCCGAGACTGAGGAGCTTGAGAGGATCGCTGACGTGGTTGGGGGGTTTGGATATAACGTTGGCACGATCAAGGGTCACGATAGAGCAATTGATAACAGGTACCATGACGAACCCTTGCAAGGTACCGCTCATGCGCCGGCCGTTCCAGCTTCCGAAAGTGAACTTCCGGATGTGGAAACACAGAGAGCTCGTGAGTCACAAGAGCCAGGGAATATGGCTATAGGGAGTGGGGGATTTCGATATAACGGAAGCCAGCCCAACTCCGACCCGGGCGGACGCAGGGCTCACGGGACAGATATGCGAGGGCAAAGGGCAGTGCCTGGATCGGGCGCAAGCGCAGGGATTAGCGAGGGCCGGAAGTCAAATAATACAAGCACGGCAACGCCATCTACGCCATCCCAAAACACGGATGGAACTGCTGAATCTCAGGAACTGAGCAGTATTACCATAGAGAGCGGCGAGTTCGGTTACAACATTGGCGGGTTACTCAGCTCCCACCCAGACAGACACAAGGCACACCGGCAGCGTTCTTCGAGGCAATCCGAAGGCCGAGAGGGTACAGCTCCAGAAGAAGAGGAGCTGGGTCGAATTACGATAGAAAGTGGCGATTTCGGATATAACGTTGGAGGCTTGCCTAGCTCTCATCCCGATAGGCATCGGCGACACTCTCATAAGCCGCTGCAAGATCAAGCCGGCCAGGAGCCCTTCGGCCTCGAACGCTGCCAACGCGGAACTGAGAAGGAAATCCCTACTACATTAGGGGGTAGGCATCGAGACAAGAAACCTACCAACGAGAACCCAAGCCACACATCCAATACGCGAGACAGTAGGTACTACGGGCACTCTGACGGGGGGGACAGCCACTCCACGCAAACCAAAGAATCCCAGCAACAACCTCCTTTAATAAATGCCCCCCCGGAGGCACGGCCTCGAACGACACGCCCCAATCCTACCATCACAGTTTCGTCTCACAGTTCTCGGGTCGGCCAATATCTCCTCCACAGCCAATGAAGGCTACCGAGATGACAGAACCCGAAAAACCCTCTGCGCCACCCGGTTATCAGTCCCAGACAAGCACAATCCACGAACCCCACTCCATCCCTGCGGACCCCAAATCTGGCCCAGTGACCAGCATCACTGGTGAGTCGGATCTAGGCACCACTTGCGAACAACACTCCGGCACCCCGCAAGCGGAGACAGACAAACATCACTTGGATGGAGATGTTGAGACGGAGTTTGTGAAGCCAGAGATGCACTCAAATCCTGAGGAAGTGAGGAATAAGGCGAAGGGTGTGGGGAGGATGGTAGTGTGGGGGGTCATTGGAGCTGGTGTTATCATAGTGCTGGGATTGATAGCCCTGTGGGGACCCAGTCACGCTGAAATTGGATTTGGACTCAGGGAGGTGGTGGGTTGGCTAGACACGGTTGCGGAGTGGTTGTTTGAGGAGGGAAAGAAGGGGTCGTCTTGAGGGGTGTGAAATGCCCTATTTTTCAATCGGAGGAGGTTTTTGTGAGCGTCTCTTGTTTTTATTCGCCAGTTTTAAGTTGTTTCCCATCACTTGCCACCATTTATGTGTTTTAATTTTTGTTGCATATATTATCACTCGCTGTGTCAGTGTGTCTGTTGTCTCGCCCCCAAATATCATAAGCCGGCGCTAGTGCGTTGCGGCAAGAAGCTGCCGAGGTGAAATGTTCAATTGGATCCAAGGCAGAGCCATGAAAAGTTTAGTCCTGGTCATACAGAGTCAGGATACGGCGTTCCATTCCGATTTCCAGACAAAACAAGCATAAAAAAGTCTTATTTGAGGATGCCAGCACCTGACGGTTCCCACCAGATTATACGGTGTTGGTGTGAGGGCGAGTTTGGTGGTGGTCGGGGGGTTATAGTTATTATATGTAGTGATATCCCCAGCCAGTTTCAACAACATCAGGTCAAGCAACGGCAAGAGTAATCTATCCGTCCGCACCATGCAACAATATTTAGGCTGAAGGGGATGTTCAGAGCTATAAGTTACTTCTAGTTACTTCCAAGTAGCGGTCCAATATGATACCACCAAGTGCAATCATGATATTCTTATAGGTTAGTGTTTTACATCTTTGCGCTCCGTTAGAATGTCATAGCGGGTCTTTTTTGTTTTTTTAGACAACAAAAAAGGAGTTGGCCCTGGTTCCAGAGGGAATTGAACCCTCGACCTTGGTATTAACTCATTACTTAGAATCGGTACCACGCGCTAACCAACTGTGCTATGGAACCGGTGACAGATCCTGTTTGCTCGATATTGATATACTGCTAATCCTCCGGCTGCATACCATACCCAAAAACGGGGGGGGTGGAAACTGGAAAGATTTTAATCCAAGCTGCCCGTAAGAACTCGAATAATCGGAGACCCGTTGTGCTAGGGAGCCGGGGTTGCCTCTCCCGGTAAAATTTGGTGCTTTCCCCCTCCTTATTTGCCCCGGAAACTATACCTTTTTTGTCTATACTTGGAAGCTTTTCCAGAGGAGAGAGCTCTGGACCGCCCAGTACGTGGTCCGTTTATTCGAGTTCTTGGGTGTTCCAATGTGGGGTATTGGCCTCCTTAGGCAAAAGAGGAAAGGAAGAAGAAAAAAATAGCACCCCTTGATTTATAGGACTTTTATTGGATTTAAGGTAGGAAAACATGGAAGGCCGGATGTAACTCTAAGTACTGTATCCCGAACAACACCACGAACAACCCCGTAACATATCCCAAGAGTTTTCTCCTCTATCTGCAATGTAATCCTAGTCCTAGGGTGAGGAAAAATATCTATCTAGAAATCACAATCACATAAGCCCATCCCATTTATAACCCTCTCTCGCCAATCTGTGAAGTTGCCTCTCATCCCAAGTTCCTGAAGGGAAATCCCATCCCATACTCAACTGCCTGGCTAAACATGGACCGAGCTAGCATCCCTATCAAGCTCATCATGAGCATTAAGACCATACCTTTCCCCCCGGAAGTGCCTCTCCGGGCGCCGGCATTCCCCACGCACGTGGACTTCCCACGGCAAGAAACCATCGTACCGCCGCTGCATTTCTTCTTGAGCGAACTGGTTCATATGTTGCGCTAGAGCACGTTCGAACTGTACACGGTCATAGTGGCGCTCATGCTCGCGATTTGGGTCTCGTTGTGTTCTATGAGAGTCATTACCGAGAGTTTTTACTTCAACAATGACCTGGCCTCTTTTCCCGTGGTTTTGTGTTTCCCAGGACTGTGGTCTGGATTTCACGCTAGTGCTCGCCGAAGAGACTAGGTCCACGACAGCACTGGGTCTCACGGAAAGGAGAATAGAATTATCGGAGATGTTTCCCATATCTGCGATATAGTCGCGAAGCCGTCTCTCCCTTTCTCGTTTTCTATGCTGGTACTCGTTATGTTGTCTTTTTAGATACTCCCAAAGCTCCCGGCTTATGCCCCGGCAGTCCCTGTGGTGAGTGCCATGGCCAGCTCCGGCACCGTCATTAGTTCGGGACTTGGGAAAAGCGGCCTCGAAGCCGGAAAGCACAGTGAACATGAAATCATGTATCATTTGGCTCGATTTCAGCATGTGGCCGATTGAAAGAAACCGCACTGCTTCTGGTATGGTCGCGTTGTATTTGAGGAAGCTTCGGTGGCCCGTGTATGCAGACTTTAGGCCACGCAAAATGGGCCTACTGCCACCCGTAAGACAGCCAAACGATATGGCTATAGTGACTAGAGCCTCGATAAGATCTTGGAACTTGCTAATAGGAACGTGTACCCGCCTTCCGTTGTCATTCTGGAACAGATGACCGATGTTGAAGTTGTGCGAGCCCATTCTGTCTTCAAGCAATAACTCAACTGCTTCTCGGAGTGAGGCATTGCATTTGGATCTACTATGGTAGGACCCTCTCCAGCCCGTTAACCACGGCGCCGCGTCGTTTTCTCTGGGAGCTAAATCGAGATAAAAGTACCCTCGCACTGGGCTGCTCCACTTGATATAAGGTCGGAGATGAGAGTTTACCGGAAACCGAGCTGTGAACCAAGAGATCCGATGTGCGACCAAACGCTCTCGGCCCCAGTATATCTCGATTGTATGGTTCGACCTAGATTGCAGATTTCCCATAGTGGGTAGAGAGCAGAATTGAGCAACAGGGGAGTGGTGGAGATAGTTGGAGAACCTGTCAATATCGATGGTGTTTGATTTTTTTGATTTTTTTTTTTTCCTCCGTCCGTCGAAGAGGCAAGATTCTGAATCCGGCGGGGTTTATCCAGGTGCAAGCAGGGCTTATAAAGGTAATCCTTTCCTCCCGAAATTGACGTACTTAACCTTTTTTTCACAGCCCTAGATCAACAAACCATCACAAGGCATTTTCTCATGCATCCTCCCGCAGCTAAACTACCGGAAGCGGGAGGTACTTGAGAGAAACTAGATGGGTGACACACCTCTCTCACCGTTCCCCCCAGTAGAGAGTAGATAGTGAAAGATTCCCTTCACTTTAGTAGCTCGCGTCGGTAAACAGCACATCACGTTGCGGATGAGATCATCCTAAGTGTTGTTGGCAAACCAAAATACCGGAGGCCACCCAGGTGCACGGTTTACCAACGAGACGTGGCTGGGCTGTACGACCGCACCCCCATCTCCATCTGAGCATGCGAAACACCGATTACATCATTTGTTGTCGGCGTGACTAGCATTTTGTCACTAAGAGTTGATATCTGGAGACGGGTGCACTTTCCGGATTGCTTGCCGGGCATAGGATCGTAAGGCGGGGCGAGCGATGAAGCAAGAGTTTACATTGAAAGCCGGAATTAAGGAAAATCCGGCGGTTTGTTCCCTCCAAAATCTCTCGGTCAATACTGAGGAAACCCCATGGGCTGAGTCCAAGCGAATCATGCCATCTGGATCCTTCTCTTCCTGATGCTGTTTGCTATCCTACAAAGGAGCCCCCATGCTAAAGTCCCTCCACGCCCCATCTCTTAGCCTTGTGGCCTCACAGATGGCCCTGACCCAAGGCGCCTTTCTCACTTCAAGGCTTAATCGGCATCCCCTCTTCGCAATGTTCCCATCTGTAAATCAGGTGATCATACGAGATCACTCGCAATTCCTGTGAATTTGCATGGCTGGGAAAGAGAGAAAGAAGCCCGCTCTCCCTACCGCATGCGCAGGTGCGGGCCCACACCCCCGAGCTGGAAAAGAAGAGGAAAAGGGAAAGGATAGAGGAAAGTCGAGGACGGCGCCATATGAGGGTCTCGGAGGAAAGGAAGAGATTGAGAAAACCTGGGAAGGAGAGAGCACACGAGAGCCTAGGAAGGAAAATAGACAATAAGTGATAAGGAACGGGGACATACTATAGTTGAATATGGTGTGGCTGCCGCGAGACGAACAGAGCAGAGTTGGGTGGAGATGAAATAGAGGCCAGCGATGAAGAGAGTGGTAGGGGAAAAACAAGTAGTAAGAGAAACTAGATGAAAAGAGACTAACTTAGTATGTCGGGTGGATACCCAATAAAACCAATACCTGCCCTCGGCGAACAGACTATAAACACAATCTAATAGGCCTAAGGGAGGCGGGGGATGCAAGAGAGCAAGAGGAGCAAAGGTTATATGAGATACCAGGAGAGCGGGGCCACTAAATAAAGGAAAAGGAAAAGAAAGTGTAGGAAGCGAAAAAGGGAAGAAAAAGAATCAACAGAGGAAGATATATCCTTAGAGTAATACAGCAATTTGCGAGAGTAAGAAGTCATGTCTATGAGGTCCCAATGGTTTGGTGCAGGCGTCCTTACAATGGGGGCACGGAATGAGTAGATGGATCCTGTAGTTGTGACCACACCGAAAGCCTCAAACATTAAAGGAGAAAAGGTATGTCAGCAGTAGAGTGAGATAAGAGCCAATGGTAATACTTAATATTGTTAGACTGCCACTTCACTCAATTAATATCTCAAGGGGATAGTTGATTGCCCGAGCAGAGGAGAACTTGCATATACATAAGTATGATAACTAACCTCAAAAAGGCGCACGTGACTGTGTACCACATTATCCGGCGAGAACCGTCAGGTGCTAGCACGTTCAAATAACATTTTAATTCTTGTTTTGCTTCGAAAACACAACGAAGCACCAGATCCTAACTCCGTACAGCCAGGACGAAACCTTTCAGGGCTCTAATCCTGACGCAGTTATAAGTTTCACCTCTGCCACTCCGTATTCCAATGTATAAGTGTTTGCCAGTTCTCACCGGACAATGCGGTAGATGCTTCTCAAGCTGAGATTAAACAAAGGTGAAGGCAAAGTTTGTTGGAATAGTTTGTACACCGCCGTGACATTGGGAATAAATCTGGTTGTCAAAACCAAACCCAGCTAGTTAGATTCCCATCCACTCTAAACCTCGTTGCCACAGGAATACACTACTGGTACGGATAAAAGGGACCTAATACTTGGTGTTCATTGTAGCCTGATGCGGTCCATCTAATACTCTAGGAGGGGGCATGACACGGCGATACGGCCATGCTCTACCTACAGTACAGTACAAGCAGCAACAATGTAGGACTCAGCATTCAGGGTATCTCGCATGTGGTGGTACAAGCTGCCCCCCCCTGCTATCCACCATTGCCTATCTGCCTTATTTGTCAAGTCAGCAGCTCCTGCCCAGAAGAATAACAACTATCCCATGATATACCAGAACCCATATACCTTTAATATGATATTTTGACAATCAATATCTACGTAGTACTCAGTAACAATATTCCCCCTATTGATACTATCATGATGAGGTAAAAGAGAATATACAAACAATATCCAGAAGGTGTTAGGTATTGTGAAACAACTTGTAATAAATATGTTAAGATAATCACATTGTGGTATAAAGTAAACTGGAGTTGGAGGAAAACTAGAAGTTATTTAAATATTGACTGATAAATATACCAAAGAGTAAGTATAAGTCTATTACTTCCATATGAGAAATTAACTAACCACTTGAGAGAAGATCTATAAATAGGCAAAGAATATTCAAGTTGGCATGACTTCAAATTGTTCTTGAACTGGCCATCCATCTATTTTGATAATACTATAAAGTACCTATGGGAAGCTTTTATTACATGTGATACAGGAATGCAACACTTGACCTGAGATGTAGTTTGTATTGAAATAAACTATACTTGGAACCTGCAGACTCTGAAATAAGTCATGCACTTATTGGAATATCACCAGTGTATTCTCTATTGAAAATTTACTATTTAATCAAATAATAAACTAATCTGTATTGCTGTAGCAACCTAGT